CTCATAGTAAAAAATATCCAACCTGAACCTACCTCCCTCTATTTTAAAACTATTACCCCTTGTCCTATCGTAACTGGCCCTCCTGAACAGCCTCTCCCCATCTTTCCTGTAGGCCCCCTTGAGGTACTGGAAGACCGCTATAAGGTCACCCCGGAGCCTCCTCTTCTCCAGGCTGAACAGCCCCAACTCTTTCAGCCTGTCCTCATAGGAAAGGTGCTCCAGCCCTCTTATCATCTTTGTGGCCCTCCTCTGGACCCTCTCCAACTGGTCCATGTCCTTCTTATGTTGGGGACTCCAGAACTGGACGCAGTACTCCAAGTGAGGTCTCACGAGGGCAGAGTAGAGGGGGAGAATCACCTCCCTCGACCTGCTGGCCACGCTCCTCTTGATGCAGCCCAGGACGCGGTTGGCCTTCTGGGCCGCAAGAGCACATTGCCGGCTCATATTGAGCTTCTCGTCCACCAGAACGATAATAACATATATGTTCTTGCTACAGCATGTTGGTTAGCTATTAACTGCCTACCATCTGAGAGGAATTCCCTCTCTCAGGACACATTGTTCCATGGTCATTTTACCTTTCATGATACTCCACTTTAAATATGTGAGTGATAAAGACAGAATATTGGATTTCATCAGGGCACACCATAAATCCTATTGAACAAATTTTGCCCTGCTCAGAAACCAAACGATCAGAGAGCAACTTGTAATGAAGAGGCTCTGATTAATGAAAGACTTATTGAATAAGCTAAACTAATTGTAAAAGCAGAGTTATTTCTCCACTTTTGAAATGCGGGAGGAAAAAAAAAAGAGGAACAGCTATAAGAGTTAACTCACTGAAACTTTGAACCCCATTCCTTTCCTATTTTTTTTAGTCTGTACAGAAGCAGCCTTATCTATTAAGATTACTTAATTATCTTCATATGATAAAATTTATTGTAAGCTGGTGATAATTTTGGCTATCCTTCAAGAAATTAAAAGCTTCCTTTATTAATTAGAGTGGAGAATAGTGGTAATTCTGAGAGTGCCTAAGAGTAAGAGAAGGCTGGTCTGAGGAGACAGACCATGACCCAGTGCGGTGTAGATGATGTGTGTCCTCTGTGTAACAATAACAAATAAGGGGTGCTGCAGGGATGAAAGAAAAGCTGTAGGTGACTCTGCTGTTTAGTGGCAACTACTTATAACCTGTTGCTCACCAGCCTGGGCTGCAGCACCAGGGACGCTGTTGCATCTTCCGCAACCAGGAGGAAATGGCCTGCCTCTTGTGGGCAGGATAGGTACCTTGAGTTGAGTAGTTAATTAGTAGTTCATTAGCTCAACTCAGTCCAGCTGGATAAGAATGATTGGTGCCATAATTCCCCCTTTTTGTTTTAGTATTTTTTGTTTTCACAAAGGCTTTAAGGGTGAGCAGAGACCCGGCCCATTCATCCAACTCCAGCACGCTTCCCTCCCGCGAATACCACGTCGGGGCTTGCGGCTTTACCTTCTTCTCCGAAGGACTCTCGCTCGAGCTCCCGGCTCCGGCTCTTTTGGCTCGGGCTCCTTTGCAGCCAGGGCGCTCGGCGAGGGAGTCGGGGCTTCCCAGGGTCTCATCGATGTATCACGTCGGGGTCACCAGTTGTTGCTCACCAGCCTGGACTGCGGCACCAGGGACACTGTTGCATCTTCCGCAGCCAGGAGGAAATGGCCTGCCTCTTGTGGGCAGGATAGGTACCTTGAGTTGAGTAGTTAATTAGTAGTTCATTAGCTCAACTCAGTCCAGCTGGATAAGAATGATTGGTGCCATAATAACCAAGTCGGGAACATTTTCAAAGCTGTAACTGATGGTTGTGCTGAGGCAGTTTGGTTCAGATAAGCCCTCAGGTGTCTGCAGTACCATTTATGCTGGGAAAGCACAGGGGAAAGAGGTTCTTGAGCACAAGCAGATCTTAGTCAATGCACATGTCTCTTGGTCTATCAAACAACCACAGACCCAAGGTCTCTCATTAGTTGTGACTGGTTGTCATCTGTGCAATGCTGCTGGAATTCCAAGCAACTGGCTGTAAGTAGGCAGAAAGTTGTATGACTGTTGACAAGATTTGCTATGCAAAAAGAAGAAGGTACTGGTTGTTTGTGGATGTGTTACTTTCATCTTTTTTTTTTTTTTAATGTGCTGTCATGCATTCATACCGGTGCAAAGAGAAGGAAATGTTGAAGATGAATGCCCAACCTAGCTTTTCTTCCTTACCCGCTCTCTCCTTCTGTGCTAAGTTTTCCCATCCACACTTCTGACAACAAACTACTTTGTTTGCCAGGATTTGTCTTGCCTTTTTGTGGCTGAGGCCATGCAGCTACCTTGTCAGTGTAAGTGTGGGATGACAATTATTTCAGTGGAGAAAAGGCAGAGTAGCAGGACGAGGAGCAAACAGTAGCTATGACAAAACCTACAATTCTTTCATGGCATGTGGAGTTTATGAAGTGGTATTTTCTAGGCAGATGTTTCTAGCCCTGAATGTTACATATATCTTCCTATTTTCGTAGCTGAATATGTATTTGCACTGCCAATGGCATGGATGTTGTCACTTACAGAAGTAATGTTAGTAACGTCTAGAGAAGTTTTAGGATGTCAATGAATTTTCTGAAATTTTAAGAATTATAGCATGCAATGCTATCTTAAAAAAGATATTTTATTCACAAGCAGCTGATTTGAATCTTTTCCCTTCCTCTTCTCTCCCTTGATGCTGTGTAGGTAGTCTCTCATAGCACTACGGAAGATATTTGATTTGCTCTAATTCCTTTCTGTTCAATTTTCATTTGCACATCAGCCACAATAAATCATGAACACCTGGCTTGAACTAGTAATGCCACATGTCGTTGCTACAGGCAACATCTCCTCTTTTAATTGTGTGGATTCTTTCTTTGCTTTTTCCAATAATGTCTCGAATGTATTGATAAGTGGACAAAGCACCACTTTGCCACTTACCCCTTTATTATTGTAAGGAAAGGAAAAATGTTTTAATGCAACAAATTTGTTAGTGAATAGGGGTATTCAATTTGCTTCCCTTTGTGATGAGCTCTTTGCTGTCTGACAAACAGCATCCACATAGAGGAAAATTGGTTTTGGGGAAGAATCTTTATTGAAGGTTTGTCTCTAGGGACTTCTAAATAGCAATTGCTCTGTGCTACCAACTGTCTAGGACCAATGCTGTAGGAGGCTGAAAGCTGAAAAAGAGATTTAAGGTCTTCAGAGCTAGCTGAGAGATGGCAAGCTCCATGAGACGTAATACAACATTTGTCAGACTTGGCATAGCCTCTGCTTCTTCAGCTGGTGAGAGACAAATACTATCTCTGGCCTCAAGATGACCAAAGAGAGAGGGGGTTTTTGACACATGCTTCTTAGTCACCATTGGAGTGGATGTTTACTGGAAAGTGTCAGATGGGATGTTGGCATGTTTGGAGTTGTGGAGACCACCTATCTCCTGTGGATAGGATTGTTTTAGAAGAATTCTCTTATTTGAAAGTACTTTGTCAATTTTGCTAAACATGAATTTGTAAAACAAATCTCATTGTTTACAGTAGTGAGGGCTTTCAGAGAGTCAGAAATGAGGACCGAGAGAACCTTAGCCTTAAATGTACTTATATAGCCAGTGCTTGCTGGAATGAACTGTAGGCATAAATCCCTGAAAACAGTACCCCCTTGGGTGTGCTAGTGTCCAGTGACAGTGTTATGGCATCATTCTCCCATTGATCTCTTCAGAAACCTGTTTGGCTGGCTATCAGGTGAACTTACAAAGGAAAGAACACATAAGACCCTTTTTTAATTGCATTTTAAAGAGAAGTTTCAGTTTCCTTGGTATAAGCTTGAGGATGAACACACCTTTTAAAACTTTTTTCTCTTCAACTAGGGGAAAGCAAGGGAATTTTACTCTTGGCAATTTCAGGGCCAGCAGCTGTCACCTTTCTCCTAGAGAAGATTGTTCGCTGCCCAATGCCTCTCTTTTCTGGAGTAGGAGGTACAGCTTGTGTGTCTTTGTGTATTCACTCTTGATCAAACAGTGCAAATAAGTAGAGGACAGAGAGCATATACCATACGGCAGGCATGAACTCGCTTACCATAAGTGATGCTGTCAGATGTCTCCTCTTGCCTCAATACCCCTGCCAGATCAACTCATCCCCACTGGATATGTTTAGCAATGAAAAACAGAATTATTACCCTTGGTGTGTAGGTGGGATGTTGAAATAGAACAGCCTGGGTTCACTCCACTTTACTTTAAATTCCCCTGTGTGTTAAGTGAGGATGTAGACATTTGAGGTTTTCTTTCTGTCAGTGGCAAGAGATCAGCATTTTTGGATGCAGTGTAGCCCACTCAGGGTGTGATTCACCATTTACAGGTACCAGTTTTTTCCCCTTGTGCACAGAAGGTGCATGAGTCTACTAGGTTTAAAGTTAAGGGCCTTAGTTTCATGCTTAAAGCTTTGTAAGATAAGCCCAAATCAAAACGATGCAGTTTCTTAGAGAGTGTGGCAGACCCAGGAAGTGATCTTTAATGTCCCTGAATCCCTGTGATGCTGTAGCTTATAGCTCTGCTTCATCAGTACTCAGTGTAATGACAAAGTGTAAAGAACAACAGAAACACTTAGAAGTCAAGTATATGTCTCAGAATGGTATCTGGCCTCCTCAGGTGGGAAAGACAAGGAGGCTGAGAGTGTCATAAAAATGTACATGAAAAGTGTTATAATCAGCAACAAGGTCCTCTTACCCCATTTTTTGAGCCAACTTCCCCCCTGCACCCAGACAGGATATTAACGAGCACCTCAAGTCCCTGCAGTGATGGACAAGCTGGGATTCACAACATTTTAATACAGCCAGTGTTTGGAGAGTTTCGCAAAGAAAGAATTGTTAATGAGTAATCCTTGTCCATGAGGGCACTGAGCCAATGAGCCCAAGCTTTGATTCATTGTGTTATCACTACAGGCTTCCGCTAAACTTAAAAAAAAACCAAAAAACAAAAACCGAAAATGTTCCTGTGTGAGAATTGTTAGGATACTGAACTGAGCGCAGAACTGTCTTACATCCTGCCATCTGCAGTCTTCCAGAAAAGGACAGTAAGTAACAGTTCCTTAAACTGATAGCTCTTGCTGTTATGTAGTATAAAAGCAATTTTCTCACCTGAATTATTTAGTGGAAGTTAGTGGGTTTTTGACCAGAAAAAAAAAGGATTTTTTTAAACTAGTATTTTATTGAAGAATAATACAAAGAGAAGTAATTTCATCTATAAAACTGGCACAACAGCAGGTATTCCCCTTGGGAAAAATGTTAAGGTCATGAAAAATAATGACAGTGTTGGAATTTGTCTTTAGAAAGCTGGCTTCTGTGTCTGTGTGTCACTGGAAAAGAAAGTATAACTTTGATACTGAGCCTTTCCTGCAATAGCACTATCTAGTTAATTATGTGCATCAGCTTTAAAATTGTATTGGTTTGTTACTTTTTATCTGTTTAGGAAGAGAAAATATTTTAAATGTGATTAATAGGAGAACAGAGGACAATGCAGAATGGAACAGTTATTTGTTTTATGTGATTTCTTTGTTTGATGGTTTTGTGTACAGATTCCAGGTGCATCTTCCAAAGTCCCGGACTTTAGCATTTATTTCATGCAACTAACACAAGCAAAACGGGGTTTCACATTTCAAGTGATTACTATTTGAATCCATTGCTAGTTTTTAAGAAAATGTCAGTTTATTCTGAGTGTTCCTGCTTTCTATTTATCTTCAGAAAACTAACTGTGGTGGGACACATTTGGGTTGTGTTATTTTTGTTGTTTTGTTTATTTATGTTTATTATTTGTTTATTGTTTGCATTAAAGAGGACCTAGAGATCCTAAACTAGATTGGGATCCCATCAGGCTAGATGGGAGTCCAAAAATAAGTTAAAAAAGAGGGTTTGCAGTTTTATCAGGTGAGATAGGGAAAGGATACTGGAGAAAGGAAGACACAGAGAAATGGGTATCAGCAGGTTATCCCAGGGACAGCCAGATCTTTGAATTTACTTGCCTACCTACAGAAATGACATTGAGATTTTTGGTAGAGTTTTCAGTTCTAGCTGTGACTAACTTAGATATACATTTTCCCTTCAAAATAAGCGGTAAGAGTATCCTATATTTTTGTCTCCTGTGCTTCTTTGCTCTGATTTTTAACATTGTATTAAAAAACCCCTAACCATTAAATTTCAAAAACAGTAGCACCACTGCTGCCTCTGGTTCTAAACTTGCTCCTGTTGTTGCTTGTATTTCGCATCAGTTGCGGTGTAGCTGCCCACGGTGCCTTGCATGCCAAAATGATCTGGCAGCAAAAGGCTAGAAACGAGGAGCACAAATCTTCCTAAAGCTTTCATGTCCCTTTGATACACTTTAAAACAAACAAACAAGCAAATAAAAAAGCCACTCAAATAAGCGAGGCACTGCATTAAATATTCTACAAAAAGGCTATGAGACCAGATCAAAAGCCTGTGAACTAGATGGGAATCTTCCCATTGATGCTAACAGTAGTTGGATCAGGCCATAGATTAATGACATTACTGAAATTTCCCTTTGAGCAAATGGCAGCCAGATGCTTAAAGAATAAGACAATATTACGGGACAAAAGAAGGGAAACGTACCTTGTTAATACTTGTGAAAAATTTTGCCAGTGCTTTGATATATCTGCCTTTAGTAATTGAAACAGATTCAATCATTCTTCTTCTGAAGGTAAAACACAATTAGACTGTCATGGAGCTTTCCTGAAGATCAAATATATTTTTAACTTAACTGAAAGTGTGAGGCCATGATGCTTTTGACTTTCAGTGAGCCAGAGGAACCTTTACTATTGACCATAGTAAGGTCAGAGGTAGTCCACAATAAATCTGAAACCCACACCCACATACATATGTGCATACATATATGTTTGTATACGTCCATGAACATATCCTATGAGAAAGCTGAATAAAAATACATGCACATACACATGGTGAAGGAACAAGCCACATATATAATAATTTACATCTCAATTTTCTCAGTTAAACATAGAATACATAAACATGCATTGATTGACTGTTCTGAAGTATGCTAAAGGATACACAAAATAAAATTTTATGTAATTCAGAGCTCTTAATATACAGTTGATGAAAATAACCTCAAGCAATTTGGCATATGTTTTACTTTATGCATAGCGATCTCTGTTTTTCTTTGCTGTATCTCTTTGGTTTATGAAAATAATATCAAAACATGATAGAGTAAATAGGTTTATTAACAAGTGAATTAAAATAACTCTTTGGGGAAAAAAAAGCTTTGCAACTTATCCTATGCCTCTTAATTTCTCTTGAGGGGCTCTTATTTTGGAGAGCAATATCAATTTCCTGTGCACCTATCTGATGTATTTCTTCATTACACCTCAGGATGGAGTATCAGCCAAGTTGCCTAAGATAGTCTAGATTCATCTTGATAAGAGTAGCTAAAAGATAGACTTCAGGTAATAAAGCAAGCATGAGTAGAAATACCTACGAATATTTAGTCATACCAAAGATGCTTGAGAATATGAAGAAGCATTCCACCATCATGTGGTTTTGGTGGATAAAGAAATCTGAATTGAGAGAGTGGTTACTAACTCCAGTTCTTGTAGACGAACTTATTCTGCAAGCTGAGATAACATAGCTTTATGTCACCAGCCAAAAAAAAAAACAACCCCAAACTCTTCATCTTTGGAAGGAATACATCTGCCAAGAGGTTCTGTGTGTAGGTGCTGCAGATGGCACCATTTGTCACTTGACTGTGTTGCTAGCAAGTTGGGTGCCTCTGTCTGCTGGGTGTGACTATCCCACTGGCCAGACCAATGCTTCTGGAGCTCCTCCATGGGAGTTACAGCCCTCTGAGACCACAGTTGTTTAATTGCATCAACAGCCTAGGAGGATTAGGCTGGGAAGATGCTAATGACAGGGTGTGCATTGTAGAACCAGCTCTTTGAAAGTGGAGTCCACCCCTGGGTCTGTGACACCTTGTGACACCGACTTACGGTGATCGATATTACTTCCCAGAACTAAACAATGTGTGGAATCAAGTGTTATTTAAATGCTCTATATTGTGTACCTGGTATAGGTCTGAAAGCTGGAAATCAGTAGCTGCTGCTTTTAAATACTGGTGAAATTAATTGGATAAATCTAATGTATGATAGATGGCTCATAGAAGGCTGGATTCAGGGGCAAATCAAAACAAAATGTCAATGAGTATTTAATGAAGAGTTTAGTGCAGTAGCAAAGATACATGTAAACAAAAATGTATTGCCAGCCTTTTTAGTGGTTATTGTGTCTTGTGCTTTGCAGAAATCCCTAGAAAACAGGATTCTTTTTTGCATGACATCCAGTAAATGGTCTCTATCAGTTGAATATATTTAAGAAAATGAAGTATTTAAAAAAAGGTGAGAACTGTAAAATCCCTATGAATGTTTGACTTGAACTGAATCCATCCAGATCAAAATTAATGTAGCAGGAGGGATAGACTTACAAAATGTGTAATGACCTAGCATACTGACAGGTTGTGACAAATATATCCTCAAGTTCCTTAATATAAATGAGGCAGTATCAATAGTTTTTTTGTATATACGTGAAGGATGATAGATTCTAAGACTTCTATATTGAGGTTAAAGAGTAGCGTTATCTAATGACATGTTAAATGGAATAGGCTCAAAGGAAGCAGAAATAAGTTTATATAGTTTTCAAAGAGACTGTAAAAACACAAACACCATATTAGGGTTTAAAAATACAGGTTGATTGTTTTCTCACTGTTTGCAGCACAGACTAGTCAGGTGCAGGATATATACCTTACAGGCTAAGCAGCTATGCATTGAAAGTCTGATTCTGTTTCAAAATACTTTGGAACAGATGTTGTCTTGGGATTTTCTTTAAAATATTCTGATATAACATCCAAAATTCCCTAAGAAGAGAAGTTGTAGGCTCTGTATGAACATACAGAAGTTCACAATCCCAACATGTTAGCTGTTGCCATGTTGGCTTCTCATATAAGGTCCGTGGAGAAAACATGAAAAGTAGCAGTAGTGATGGAACATAATCTTAAAGTCTGGCAGCAGGGAAAGCTAATCCTGCAAGGAACTGCAGGGCTTACATCCCTGTGGGCTGTAAGAAAGCTACTGAAGAGCTTGCACATGGAGAGAGGGTGGAGATGGCCTCTCTTCTCTGGTCTTCAGCAAGAAAACCCAGAGAAACATTCAGGAGTCCTCTGAAGACGTCTCATTTTGACACTTCTCTTACTGACCATTATAAGGGTCCTGATTGTGCTGCTGTCTTCTCCCATGGCAAAACCCTCGTAACAGGCTGTAAGAGGAACCCTCTCCCAAAGGTCTGTCATGGGCAGGTCATGAGAAAACTGACTGTAAGGAATTTTAAGACCTTGGCATCCTCACCTTCTGAGTGCAATGGATACCTTCCCCAGCAAATGTGGTGGTGAGACGGTAAAATGGTTGGAAGCAAATGTGGGTCTACTGGGGTGGCTGGGCTGGTTGTCAAACCCCATCCCAAGATACGCGGAGTTTTTTGCTGTTGCAAAACTGTGCTAGATTCTGTGCTAGATTTGAGACTGTGTGTTTACATGTTATTTGCCACAGGAACCCTATCTGGTCTGTGATACGAGTAGCTTTTGACATTTCTGAGTAAACTGTTTAAATTATCTGTCGGCAGACATTTAAAATGCATCTGTCTAATTAGAGGGCCTTTGTTTATGTTAAGAAAGAACTTAATGAATCCTTATGAACAAATCTGAATATAATTACACAGTGTACTTGGTGCTCTCACAAGCTACTTCCCAGTCTGCTCAGCGCTGGGGCCTCCTGCTGCATTCACATTTTTGTCAGATGACTTCATTTCTGCTTTAGAAACATGCTGAGCCCTCACTGGGAGGCAGACTGGGCTATAACTCTCAAACTTCTTCAGTGAGTGGAAGCACAGTCCCAGGGACAGTCCCATGGGAATAAAACTGAATAAAGATTTAAGACTATACACCAAAGCAAAACAGATTTCTGTTTTCCTCTTGGTCTCTGCACAAACCCTCATTGGAGGGACACCGCCTCATTGGAGCTGTGTGTTCTCCTGTTGCTCATGGTTCTACCACAAATGCAATCTTGATTTGCCCTATCCCACCCACGTGAGCCAGACCTGGGCAAGGAAGCCTCTTGTACGCCTTTGTCCTGGATGCGGTGCTGCTCTAGCTGTAGCCTCTGCTCGAGTAGGAGACTGTGGATCTCTTGCCTCTTATTAAGTAGCCTAGAGGTTGGAGCAGGAAGGAGAAGACCTGGGTACAGTATCACTGTCAAGCTCAGGAGATGAAAGCTAGAGCGGCCACAACAATCTCCCAACCTCCCCAAGCAAGAGAGTTACACAGCTGCTTGAGACCCCAAAGGGAGTGGGTGGGTTAGCCTGGCTATTAGACCAAAGCTTTGTTTTCTGTTTTTGCTGCCATTTATCTTGTTCAGACAGTAATTACTGAAGGCAAGATAAAAAGCCAGTCCCTGGAAATTAAACTCAAGTTTCCTGGCTTGGTTCTTCTGACCTAACTGTAAACTTACACTTTTTCAGTAAGGGAAAACATTGACATGATGAAAGAGTGATGAAAAAAAATAATGCAAACAACTGGGATTCTCTGGAAGGGGGGCTGGGCAGCATGCCCTCAGCAGGTCAGGCCAGTGCTTTGGTCTGTGAATATTTGAATAAGGTTGAGCATAAACTGCCATTAGTTTTAAATTAGTTTTAAATAAAATATACCGCAGCAAGGAAAGGACAAACAAACTAGATGCAGCATTTTATTTAAAGGCTGGATTAAATGTTGTAACTTCAAGTCAACATTTGTTATAGTAAATATTGAAAAAAATATCCTGAATCCTGCCTTCCAATAGGTACAGAAAAATGAGTGATCTTGTTTTAAATATTCTTTTTGTCTTGTATCTTTCAGGGTCTCCTTTCAACCTATTTCTTAATTAGCACATTCATCCTGAACTGAAGAATAAATGGGATCTGAAATGAATTTAATAGGACATCACCACCAGCTAGCCGCTACTGATGGATTTTCTCTTGCTGAAGGTCCTCATTTGTTTGGTAAGTCACCAAATTAGGTTAAAATAGCAAGCTGGGAAATGTACTGAAATCTCAAGTCAAGGATGTCTGGTTAACATGTGCCAGCCTTCTTGAATCTTCAGTACCTATGGAAAGAATAACAAATAATGAGTCTGTGATGTTAATGTAATCCTGCACACTATTGCTCTCATCACCGCTCATAGCAGAACTTCGTGGTGGTTTTCGTAACACTATTCTTATATCTGAAACCATTCAGCAAAGAGAGACCTTTTTATGTAGGCTGGATGTTATCTTCATGTGAGCCATTTAAATCAAACAGAGCAGATATATTTTCAGTTAATTTGTAATAAAATTATATTTGAATGTATTTGCAGAGCTTTATTATGTAAATTTATGAAAGTAATTTCACCTAAATTAAAACCATTGTCTTAGCATAAGTTTTTAATGGTCTCAGTATTAACTTGAATGCACAAGAAAATTTATAATACAGGCTGGAAAATTCTCCTTGCTCCAGTTCCACTGAATTTTTCAAGGCTAGGCATGGATTTGTTAATGAATGAAGAATTTTTGGTCAATATTTCATAAGCATGGGGAAGCTGTCTTCTGTTATATGTACTGTTCAAAAAAAAAAGAACAATACATTTTTTTAGCCTTTCTTTTGGCAGCAGGGGGGGGACCTTTATTGAATATCATGATACATTCTGGGCCTCACACACAACACAGACCCCCAGAGAAAGCTACAATGCTTTAGAAGTTTTCAGTCCAAATAAGACCAGAATTCTGTCTTTTGGAGCGCTAGAAAAATGGAAAACATTTCAGTTTCATCTATCTGAACACATAGAGCCATTCCTGC